CATCAGCACTGCTTTCGGAGATCTTAAGAGTAGCTGTGGGACACCTCTTGCGCGTATGCCTCTGTGTGCATGTGCAAAACGTCCTTGCCTAGCAGAAACTTCCCCATGCCTCTGCTGCAGCAACATACAAGGCTTGAATGTTCTTGGCTGTGCAGTCACAATGGTGCAGGGCCAAACTAGGTGCAGCAATGGTAACCTTGGCTTTTGATTCCTGTGTATGGCCCCACTCATCTATAAAGTAACAGGAGGGAGAAAGATGGGGGTGAAGGGAGCTGAACACTCCCTCACACCTTACTTTCTCCACGGTTCATTAGCTCAGGCTCTTTTCTTCCGCTTTAGGTATTGAGAGTAAGGGTGCCCGTTTCGGTGCTGTACCTCAAGCTGGTAAGACAGAGGAGTGGAGGAAGGAGTTCGTTTCCGTCAGCTGCACTTTACAGCTGCATTTTACTATCAAAGTCTCTCCCCCGCCCCCCTCTCTCGCACACCATATCTGAACAGGGCTGACATGAATAAGAAATGAGGTTGCCACTGTCCCATTTAGTCTGTCCCTTAACTGTGTCTTGCATACTGAATTAGCTGATAATGTATGGTCTTCCCTTTAGGGTTTGGGTGCATCAGACCTCCACAAGAACCTTTGCTGATCTATTCATGCACATCAGGTGGTTTAGGCACCTGCCTTTCATTTGCTGCCTTCATAAGCTTCTAGGCCTTGGCAGGAGGTCTCAAGCTGCCAAAGACTGGTGGATGAGGAGCTCAACCATGTAGATTCTTGACAGCATTTCTTGTTCGTTCCTGAGGAAAGCCATCGTTCATGCCCTCAATATTTGTTTAGTCTGTGAAAATTGTACAATTGCCATGAGTTAATCATGCTAAAAAAGGTATGTGTTCTTCGTGTTTGCCAGTTACTCAATTTAACAAAATGGCACTGACTGAGACACACCTCAAACCCGCGGTTTTCTAGCCTGAGCATGCACTGGCTTCAGTCCCTGTCTGTGTTTTGTAACCGGCTGGCTCTGTTGTAGTGTGCATTTTCAAGGTGTTTCTTCCTAGTAGGATCCTGAATTCCACTGGTGCATTTCCCTCCCTCCTTCCCATTCTAGTATAAGCCAAAAAAAAAAAAGAATCTCGATTTAAAGGGCCATAAATAGTATTATCCTAGTAAAGCAATCATAAAAATAGTATTAGAAATTGTTTCCTGGGGATTTCCTGCCTTGTGATAAGATTAAGGCAATCTGTAATAGTAACAGCAGAGGAAGGGAAGCTCAAAGAGGGATGTTTATTTTAGTTGAACACAGGGTACAAGCCTGATTAGGAAACAGAAAACCACAAAAAAGAGAGAGACTAGGCTACAATAAACCGCTTTAAAATGGAGGCAGGAGGGAGGGAAGCTTCATATTTTCCTATTTACAAAGTTGAGCACGTCATCATGGCTTATAAACAGATATGCCACATTATCCCTACTGGCTAAGGATCTTCTAGTACAAATATCCATTAGTCATCCTGATCTAGTGTGTTGCTTTTATCATTTATAATCGGCTATGGGATGCTTTCTAGAAATTATTACAAACATGCTGCCACACAGCCTCTGCACATGAACATCTACTGTCCTTTTGAAGTGCATGATGGAACAGTTTCTCCTGCTTACATTTTCTAAAACAACCAGTGGCCATGCATCACATCCATTCCTGCAGAAAATAAAAGTTCACCACTGTATTCCACTGTACTGTAAGAGGTATTAGGCAGCACCAAATTAGGGATAACTATGTAGATTAATTTAGACAGCTCATACCCAATGGAAGCCTTACAAATTATGATCTATGTAATTCCACCTCCTCCCCTGGAGGGGCAACATTTCCCTATTTTGTGCAGTTTTGCCATAAAAACCTATTTCAGAGTTGTACATGTACATTAATGAGAATAGCAGGCAAACAAATCCAACCCAGTGATATAGGAAAGCCATCACTCTTGGAGATCTGGAGGGGGAGCTCACCAGTGAGGAGGATAGCAACCACAGAGGGCCAGTGTGGGAGCCAGTGCGGAGGCCAGCAGGAGCACAAGGCAGGCTGGCTTCAGCATGGCAGCAGCATGTTGGTCTTCAGTGGGGGGGGGCTTGTCAGCAAGGAGGCCAGATGCTGTGGAGGGCCACCTGGCTTTGGGTGATGGAGTGAGTGAAGTGCCAAGGTTGGGAGGGTAGGTAGGAAGAGAAGCCAGGTTGAGTAAAGTGCAAAGGGTGGAAGGGAAGATAGGGAGAGCAGTGAGGGTGGGGGGAGGTAGGAAGAGCATCAAGGGTGAGGGGTGATGAAGTGCCAAGGATGGGGGGTAGGTGGAGACAGCAGCAAGAGTAGGGGATGAATGAACTGCCATAATTTTGCATATAAATCCATAGAATTTGCCAGCTCGCACTACCAGCTTAGTTAAGCGAATAATTTGTGACCAAAATAAAATTTACAGGCCAAAAGTTGCCAAGATTCCTTGCCTGTTCTCCTGGAAAAGACGCTTGATCTCCACAGGTGACTAACACTTCTCCATTAGTGTACCCAAAGATCTTTGAATTGCAACAAGGATTTTTAAGTATATTGGTGTGTTTCAAGCATACCTTCTGTGAGACAATACAGTATCAAAAAGGCCCATAATTCTTTCTTTTCTCATAGCTGAGTCCCTTACTCTATAAAATATTGTCTATACTTTTGCTACAACTCCAATATGTGCGATGCTAGCTCTCAGCTTTAGCCTAATGCCAAATTCTAAGCAAGCCCTCCCTGTTTGCAGCAGTGACTTACCCCCTATTCAGAAAGCCGTTCCACATATTTGATCAAAACTGGAGAGTATGCATAGTACATTGAAGATGATTGTTAATAATCATAGCATCAGTACTGGACCTGAGTTTCCTGGGGCAATGCCAAGTCCACGGCCATACAGCCCGGAAAATCTACAACAGCTAATGAACTCCGGCCGTGAAAGCCTTCGACAGCATATTTTCCTGAAACTATTTGGGTTTTTGATTGGTTTGAGACATTTTATGCTTTGTTTCAAAAAAAATGTGCTGAAAGGAAACTCTTTCGAAACAAAGCTCTGTAGCTCTCTGATGCACCAAGCTGTGCTAATTTGGTTCCTGAATTAATCTGTAGGAACAGTGGCTTCCTGCTTAAGGGGACTAAATTAACAAGCTGCACATACAGAAATTCCATTTTCTAGCTATGGGGAGTTCTAAAGTTGAAAAAGTTGGCCATCCCTGAAATAGCACTTGGGTGAGTGGCTTTCCCCTTCCCCCATTTCCCAGGATAAAAAAGGAGCTGGATATGTTGAAGGCCTTTTTATAGCTTATCGTGACCTTCTAAGTAACAAATGACTTCCTTCGCCTTTTAAATTAGATTTAGTAGAAGGAAAACGCAGGTCTCACAATTAAGATCACTGTAACCTGTTTGGTTTGCTCGTTTCCTATTAACAGATCGTCACAGCTCAATAGCTCAGATATTTGTTGAATATAGCACTGTAGCACCATCTTGTGTGTGCTCTGTTGATGCTTTCCTTTCACTCTTTAGAATACAAACAAAAATGTTTCGTGCTGGAACAAATTATATAACTATTTGCAGTTATACATCTCCATTAAACTGACTGTTACATGTGTGAAGAGGCTACATGTCCTGTGTAGCATATTTGCAGAAATAACCTGCTTTAATTGAGATTGTTTGTGAATACCAAATCCCACAGGAGAGTGCTTTTTCCTTGCTGACATTGTGTTTAAATCAAGCCTATCTTCTTACTTTGCTTTAGTTTGGTCAGTTATCAGTCTGGTTTCTTAAACAGTGTTGCCAATAAAAACAAACTGCTTACAAGATAGGAGCAAGAGTCCAGTAGAACTTTAAAGACTAACAAAATTTGTGGCATGGACTTTCATGAGTCACTGCTCACTTCTTCAGATACAAGATGAATGTCCAGGGGTTAAACGGTCTCAGCTGTTCTGCATGCTATGAAAACCTGGCTATTTATTTACATGTTAATTCAGATGACAGCTTAATTTGAGTTGGTAGATAGCTTAGACTTAAGACCTTATAAGCAGACTGTGCAAGAGCTCAGGTTTCTGGTTGCTCCAGTTTTTAACTTTTGAAACTCTTAATTTGTTCCTTTGCCAGCAAACCTGAGCTGGAAGTACTCTGGTCTGTTTGTAGATGTTAATGGTTTTATCTACTGTTCAGCATTACAGTGTGGCACTATGAAACATTTTCATGTATTGGTTCTCAGCAAATATTTTGACTCTCAGTAGTTGGCAGATATGCAGCCAGTGTAAAAATTAAATGGTGTTCTATGACCTTTGAACCATTTCTCTCTTTATTTTTTCACTGTAATAACACTGTGTGAGTTTAGTGCAATATATCAGGAAATTCAACAAGCTCTATCTGAGCTGCATACCAGTGATATACTCCTTCAGCATAGCTGCAATCCCTTTCCCACTATCACCACCCCCTCCCCAAACTGGTTCATCCACAACAGATGACTATTAATTTGCTGCTTTCTAGAACAATAGTGGAAGAAGGAAAGAAGTAGACAGTTTATAAAATGGGGTAAACCATGCTTTTAATAAGACAGGGTGAGCGGGTGAGCTCCTGTCTCTAGTTCCAGCTCCTGCCAACCTAGCAGTTCGAAAGCAAGAAATTGCAAGTAGATAAATAGGGACCACTTCGGTGGGAAGGTAACAGCGTTCCGTGCGCCTTGATGTTTAGTCATGCCGGCCACATGACCACGGAAACGTCTTCGGACAGCGCTGGCTCTTCGGCTTTGAAACGGAGATGAGCACTGCAACCCTAGAGTCAGACTCGACTGGCTTTCGAGCAAGGGAACCTTTACCTTTACTTACTGCTTAGCAGGTGCTGAATTGAAACCAGGTTCTGTTTTCTGTATTCTAAAGTATTAAAATTTGGTATGTTCGCTCTATCCATTGTGTGGAAGTCTCAGTTTATAATCAAGTGTAGCCTCAGGACCTGAATGTGTTTCTTTTTCAGGAAACTCGTGTACCAGTCCTGTGATGGTGACAGCAGTATATCCATTTGAAGGACAACAGCCAGGGGACTTGACTTTCAAAGCTGGAGACCAAATCAAGATAACAACAAAAACAGATTCACAGTTTGATTGGTGGGAAGGATGTTTACAAGGCAGGACTGGCATTTTTCCTGCCAATTATGTCACAATGAGCTGAAGATAAAGCATATTAAATGGTGTTATAATTTAACCTACATACTTCTGAAATATGCAACAGATTATCTATTGTATTGGAGGATCTAATCAATCATATGTGTTGCACCTGCGTACAGAGGAGTCACAGGGAGACACCCCCTTCCCCCAAAAAACATAAGTGCACATGCAAGCAATGCAATCAAGTATTGCACGGAAAGAGAGGTTCATGAATACCTCCCTGTCCCTATCCAGTCCGTCTTTTATGCATTATTGAAGGGCTGGGGTGGGAAATATGGGAGGTGCCCGTGCGTCTCTCATTCCCCACAAGTACCCGCTTGTGATGCATCTAAACCTTTCCTTTCACCGGGGAAATAAGCTGTTTATTCCCATGGGACTTCTTTGTGCATGAACACTGTGCCTTTGCTTCTCTGTATTTGGCCTTATGTTTTTAACAGATTTTTAAAAAATATTTTCAGAAACTTTTTTCATATAACTTTTGGTAATGGAAGAAATTACAAAACTGATCAAATGAGCTGCGCATGGAATGATAGGTTTAATATATTAAGTGTATTATAACATTTTTTTTCATTAACAGTGCCTAACAAAACTAACGTTTTACTTCTTGCCAATTTTTTGCCGAAATAAATGGGTAGTTACAATGGGAATATTTAAGCTCTTAATTACAATAAAGCAAAAGTAAATCCAAAAGTAAGGCAGTCTTTTATTTCTTTAATCTGATCTTCACTTCTGTGTTTTTTTTTAAAATATATTTTTATTGGGTTTTTTAAACATGTACATACCCACCACCTATACACCACAAATACATCATAAATGCATATTCCAAGCAGTAACATAGCTAATTTCTCTCCAATACAATTTTGGTACTACATATAAATTCATTTTTTCCATTAATCCCTATATCTTAATAATAATTCATAAGTCAACAATAGTATCTAGTTTCTCTAGTTAGGCAAGTCTTTACGTCTATCTCTTCCCTTTTAAACCAAAATATTGGTCTACTCTACCAAATACATCTGTTGCTTTTTTCTTCTTTTTTAAGTACACCTTCAGATTTTCCTTCCTTAACTTTATCTGGCCTAAACATTTTTTTCAACATTATACACCTTATTTGCTTATCCAAACAGTCCTGTATTTTAATATTTTCCAACAAACATCCTAATTAATTACTCACTTCATACAAAATTTACTTATTTACTACCTCTAGGTCCTATTCTACTTCCCCCCATCACAACTTCCCTTTCATCCCAAGAGAAAAAAAACAAAACAAGACAGAACAGGATTATATCCTCCTCCTGTTACTCCCACAAAAACCATCACCAAGTTACTACATTTAACTATTTCTTACTAACAATTTTTAATCCCAGTTTCCCTTTTAAACAAACAGCTATAGAATAGTCATTTGCTTTTACCTGGAACTTGACTTATGCACAAAAAAGAAACATGTTTCTTTTGTGTTTTAAGCTGTCTTCCAAACCTCTCATAACTATCCCCTCCAGCTTCTCCCCTTCTCTGGAATTTCCAAAGGTCCTGTTGAGTGTGACAATAGCCTTATACAAAAAAAGTTAATTCCTCGTTCCAACTGGTGTGATATTTAAATCGTCTCTGGTCACTAAGAGTACAACAGTTCATATAAAAGTACATCTACTTTGGCCATGGATGCCAGGTACTTGAATGAGACGCACTATGTCCTTGGTGACCCACTGTCAGCGTTCCCCAAATGGCAGCTACAAAGTATTTTTTGCATTATTTCTAAAGGTGATGTTCAGTTAAATTTCCCAAGAATACATTCCTTGTCATTTAGGCTTGGCCACCTGATGAGTAATGATATATTGACTAATCCTTATTAGTCAAAAATCTTGATTTTTAGGTGGGAAGACTGTAGGATTCTGTAGTCCACCATGCTGGAGATATATGTTACAGGAATCATAGGCTGTGGTCACACGCACCAGTTGAAGTGGAGGGGAAGCAAGGCTATTTCCTCCGGAGGGATATGACACACAGTTGCGAGATCACACATCCCTTTGTAGCTGTGGACTCAGCCCATCACTGTGTGGTCAGATGCAACTGCGGGTGAGTCGGGAGGGGGAGGGTTGACCGTTTGTTTCCCATGCACATAAATGAGGAATCGCACCTCCACACTGAGGGCCCCCTATGGAGTATGCGATGATGCGCATACTTCAAAGAGGGTGGGGGGAAAGAGCACCAAGCCAGGATGGAATGATCAGACCATCCCGATGGCATGAGAGATTGCTTGTGTGATCAGACAGGGGAAAGTCCACCCGTGGCCCATCAGAACCCATTAGAGCCAGACCTTCCCCAGTGTCTTTTAACTCCACTTCTGCAGCAGACCGATGACTGCTGGATGCTTCCCAGATGTTGCTGTCTGATCATGCCCTTTAGATCTGTCAGGCATTTACACCTATGTTGGATCTAAAGGTGCGTGTGATTGCAGCCATAGTCTGGAAAGGAATGCACATGTTGTATGAATCATGTATCACAGAGCTAATAATGTGTTGAATCCTGGATGCAGAGCACTTCTCCCAGAGTCTCCTGCAGAAGTCAGAAATTAATCTGATGGCTTTCAAAACTTCTGTAAGGTCTTGTTAAAGGCAGTTACTTAAACTCTGAAAAATTAGAATCCTGCTTGATGCATCAAATCCAGCATCTTGTTTCCAGCAATGATCACCCAGTTGGTTATGGGGTTCCAGAAGGAGGGTATGAAAGCAAAAGCCAACCCTCATTGGAGGTCCCATTGAGCTTTGTTGGCTGTCTGTCAACATCTGTTAACTGATATAGCTGAATGTTCCATCCAACTTTTAAAGCCATCCAGGTTAGTGACCATCACATCTTATGTTGAAGACAGCTGTATCTTCAAACTGCAACATTCTGCTGCTACTCTAGAAGTTCTGCCACTGTACAAAAATGTTCTACTAAAGCGAATAAAGCCTCATATGTTTGAATCACATGACTCTCTTCTGCCAAGGCCTCTTCAAGGGGGATAGACTTCCTTCAAAGGGGATTGACTTTTTTCTGATGGAGTAAAATATTTCCTTTTTTAATGAATTATTTCTCTGTTGGAGGAAGACTTGGTGAAAGGGACTCATAGGATCCAACTATATTTGGGGTTTCCCCCCTCCACAGTAGTTTCTAAAGATGACCTTACTAATAGCTGCCATATTAAAAAAACTATTATTAAAAAAAACTATTTAAAATTATTATGCCACATACGAAACATATAATAAAATGTGAGCTTTTCTATACTGGTCACTTTAAAAATTATCTTTTTAAATTTTCTGTATTTGTGTGTATAACTGCTCATTTTGTGAATCTGAAGCAACTGTTAAGCATATCTTATTTTTACTAGAAAATTCTTGGAGGAGGAGATTATGAATTGTGTATTCGCTTTGATAGGCATGTTAAGAATCAGCCTGTCAATTGCCGTTTATTTTACCATTCACTGTCTTGGTTTTTTGCTTTAACATATAGCAAGCCACACTGAGCACTTTGTCAGGAAAGGATTTATTCAGACATTATAGTCTTTTGTGATGGTTTGTTACCAGATGCCACACAGTATAAATCAGAGGTTCCCTGTTAACAGTGGTTAACTCTAGAGGAGTGTTAAACACTACAAAATACAAATGAGCAATGTTTCAGTTGCAAGGATCATCATCATAAGACATCACTTTACACCGACATTAAGCCATTCTATGCACAAAACTGGCTTCTTGCTGTGCTCGCTTGCACAAGTCAATTCACAGCACTTCCTCTAAGAACAGCTAGATTCTAACCAAGATTCTGCATGTGGGAAGAGAGAGGAACAAGGCATACAAGCCAGATTCATGCATGTCACTTTTATGTCTGTTTTAAGTGACCTCTGAATGCAGCCGTGTAGCTGGCAGATATAATCTGTGAGCTTGGTCCGTAAATTAGTCACTCATAACCATGTCAAAACAAATTTTAATTCAGAAGAGCTGCTTCTTGTTTCAGGACTGAACTCCATTTAGAATCCCAGATAGATGTTCTTCATTAGTGTTAGTTTTTCCTAAAATGAAATGTGGTCCATGGTCCATTTACTTTTTCAGCTTTGTCTCTCCGTGCCAGTTGCATGCGGTCTAGTTTTTCCTTTAGCAGTTCCTTTGTATTTTAATGCACCTTATTCTCTTCCTTCAGACCTGATTTCCAAACTCAACCACAAACCCAAACCATCATTCCACAAAAATGCACATAATATCCCCCCCCCTTCATGTCTCAAGTGTTTTGGGTCACTTGTTTTGTATATGTTTTAAATTAACTTGAAATGGGAGCCACCAAATATCTATGTATCATCAGAAGAAGGGTTTGCCTGAGGTTATAAACAGGATGCCACAATTCCACTGACCTTAGGAGACTTTTGAAGTCTTTCAGTTGACTTCATTAGACTTCGGGTCAATGTAAAAAAAAAACTGTCCACAAGCATGGGATGCAAGGAACCGGCATTTCCATTTGTTGTAGTGGTAAGAAGATCTTTCCCATTAGAAATAGCATGTAACTGAGCTCTTGTCAGTTTGGCTAAGCTTATAAACAATTCTTATTCAGAACGTTTTCTCCTTTTCAGCACTTTTGGCCCAATAAATCACAGCATATTGTACTCCTGGGATAATTGTATTTCATGTGTTTGCTACAGTGCTTTGGCTTTAAAATTAAAATTTCAGTGTTTATATCTCAGTCTTGCTGGTGGCACCCCTTTTTACCCCTTAGAATAGGGTTGCAAGGGTTGTAAGTATATAACCTGACATCTTTTGTATAAGTATTAATAAGCAAAGTTTCTTTCTATAGACATGCTGTAAAAGGACTGATCATTCCCCAAATTCTGCTACTCTTAAAATAAAAGAACATGCATTTCCATCTATAAAATAGAGTATAAAATTATGGTGGAGTCTAAGGGCAACTATCTGTTCTTCTGGTTCAGTGCTGAAGCACTCAACCTAGCCTTTAGATAGTAGCGCAGAGCATGGGACACCCCATCTTTATAGCTATAGCTTTGTAGCCCATACCGCTCCCATGCTGATATCTGATAACTGAGTGGACTGTACATGCTCAAGAACCCTGTCTGTACTGAAAGACCAAGATGGCATACCTGATCCCTGACATAAAAGCCAGGTGGTTTTCCTAACACAAATTCAGCAGACCACATTCTTGTCTCAAAATGCCCAGTATCACACCCATGTACTCACTCAACGATTTTCCCTCCATTATGCCAAGGAAAATTCCATTAATGGACTCCCGGCATCTAAGTGAGCACAGTGTTTAACAGGAGCCTCAAGAGCCTGATATTAATAGCTCTTGCCTGACAACGTGACATGTGTGCATTATGGATTACCCTCCTGGTGCATTGCGCACGACTGAAGTACAGTGCTCAAGTAACATGTGCGGGCAAGCCAGATGCAAAACTGAAACACTATCTAAACAGAGCTGACTATGAAAGTAAATAATCCAGCGGGTGGTCTTCGAGATTGTCAGCAGTCATCACGGT